GAGCCTGTGCTTGGTGCCGGGGGAAACAGTTCCTGGAACAGGCAGTCTGTGACCTCTGACAAAGACCTTGCTTTGTTACCATTTTTCATAGTCAGTTGTGAAATAGCCGTGGCTGGTTTAGTTCTCTTCACATATTTAAAAATAGGTCTAACACAAGCTAAAAAAAAAAAAAAAAAAAAAATTTGATAGCCATACCGCTCATGCCATTTCTTAATTCCACCAAGTGGCGCAATGATACCTGATGCGCGGTTTGCTTTTGCAAAGGCATTTGCTATATGTTCCTTAAAAGTTAGTTGTTCATTCAAAATAATGCCAAATAACTTCACTTGACTCTGACTTTTTTTTTTTTTTTTTTTTTGTCATTTGGGAACGTTGGTGATATTACTCTGGTACTTTTGTTAAAATAGTTCAAAGAATTAATATTATATAATGCTTCGTTAGCTCAGTCGGTAGAGCGTCAGTCTCATACGTACTTAATACTAAGTGTCATCTGAAGGTCGAGAGTTCGAGCCTCCCACGGAGCATTTTTTGTAAAAAACTTTTTTTCAAAAAACAAAAAGAAAGAGTCAGTAGTTAGGAAAATAATAATAATGCAAATCAAAGGTCTTGTTTTTTTTTTTTTAACAAAAATCTTTTGGTTGGAGTTATTTTTGCTTGTTTTCTTATGTTTTTTTTTTAAATTCATTTCTGTGGTTTAAAAAAAAAAAAAAAGTTGAATTCCATGTCTTCTTTGTATATCTTTGTTATTATTATTTTAATTATGTAACTATGTGATGTAAAGACAATAAACAGATTTTCTATCTATCTAAAAAAAAAAATGTTTTAGGAGTTTTTTTATTGTTGTAAATTTAATAAATAATCAAGTACATGGGTTTTTTTGTTTTTTTGAATAGAAAATTCGGGGTAAAATAGTTATCAGTAACGTTGACCGAGTTTTCCAGGTTTTTAGATAAATGAAGTGATGGGAAGAAGGGGATTGTCAAAAAGTATATAAAAAGATATTACAGTAGTAGTAGTAGTAGTAGTAGTAGTAGTGATAACAAAGCTGGTCTGGTGAGCCCAACTACTATTGGTTATGATAACTTGTAATAATAATATCCTTCATTATTGCAACTCATATCATTTAAATTTTATGAGATTTTTTTGATAGACCTATGTTTATTATCGTTTACTAATAAAAGGTTGATGATGATCCCCCTAAAGATGTTATCATTGAGCAGCAAAGCTGCATACAGAAAGTTAATACCACAATGCAGATTTGAAAGCTTGTATTTTTTTGTTTATTTAAAATTTTCATATGAAAATCATGATGCAGTCAGATTCTAATTTAGAAACATCATTATGTGTTATATGTTGAAGTCACTAGACAAAAGAACTGGAATCTCCAAAAAAAGTGAGCACATAGACAAAAAAAAAATCTTGAATTTTTAAAATGATCACAACATATCTACATCCAAAAGCCTGGTGTGTCAGATGGCACCAAAAAATAACTAGCCCATGGAATGAGTTATCTACCAATGATGAAGCTGAGGCAACCGCCGAAACCTGCTAGACGTCGTAGAGAGAGAGAGAGAGAAAAAAAAAAAAAAAAAAAAAAAAGCGCACATATGATAAGAAATAGCTGGGAAAGCGGAACAAAAAATACAAGTTGTTTGTCGAATCAGAGTGCGAAAGATACAAAAAGCAATTTACAAATAATACCAATGTCAACCCAACAACTATGAAATTGTTTATTATAGTTTATATCCTGAAGAAAAAATCCAAAAAGGTTTTAAGCTGGATCACACAACTTAGAACCAACAATGGAAACTTTGGAGAGTATCTACAGAAAATGAAGGTCTTCATAAATCACAAAAACTATCAATTTAGAGAGTTCGAAACAATTCAACATGTCATACCCAAAAACTGAGAATAAGAGGCAGGATCTACTCAAAACTCATATCTTTTCTTATGAAACTATTTAGAACTATATATACTTCACAAAAGGTTTAGCTGGTAAAAAAAAAAAAAAAAGTCTGTCTGCACTGGACGAACATTTGAAAGGGGATGTTTCTAATATGACATGTAATCAGATAACATATAATGTGAATTTCATTATGTAATAATATATCTGACGTAAAATTTTCTATTAAGGTATTACCTCTAAACAAGCGACAAATTTAGCGATTTTAAAAGCAGTCACTATCACGTGAACATTCTTATTATACTGTACCCGGCATAATTCAATGTTAACAATTCAACCTGTGTTTGTTACCCTGCTTTTGTCATACTTTGAAATGCGATTTATAAAAAATTCACTACCACCATGCTATAACTAAGTACTATTGTAAGACATTATTTTTGTTTTTTAAAAAAAAGTCAATTAATATTAGGTGGACTAATTGATATCTCGAAATCTACACTTTTAACCAAAAAAAAAAAAAAAAAACGCTTTAGGTTTTTTTTTTTTTTTTATTTTTTTTTTAAAAAAAAAAAATTCTTTTTTTTTTTTTTTTTTTTTTTTTGAAAAACAATAATAACACCAAACGGCCACTACCACCACCTTTTTCTCATCTCTACCCACTTTCTTCCTTCTTCCAACTCACAAATACAAGTAACACCCCCTTCAATTCGTCATTGTTCTTTTTATTCTTTAGAGATTATTTTGAACAAGGCTTTCCTATATCTTTTTCTTTTTTTTCCCTCTTAAATTTATAAATAAGACCTGATCAAGTAGTGTAAGTTAAGTTCCCTCATCCCAGTTTTTTTTTTTTTTTTTTTTTACATTGATTGCTGTCCGATTTTCGAACCGTCGTGATCTGTCCTATCCTCAACGACTACACATACTTTTCTACCTGTTTGCCCTACAAATCCCTCTTATCCAACACAGCTCTTGATTTTCTAACCCTCCAGTTCAGTGTCTGTTCTATAAGCCCAGCATTGATTGGAAAACTTCGAATCTGATCAACTTCTTTGTCAACAATTTTGAAATTATCTTGGAGTTGACGATCGGACAACAACAAGTTCAGACTTTGGTACCGCAAAGAACTCATACGCAAGTATTCTGAGTTCACATACTTCACGATTGTCTTCAGACTTTCAGCCGTTGTCTTCTTCAAACTTACACTACGCGCCGAAGGGCGTTGGAGGTGGTTCCCACAACGGCCCCTCAAAGAATAACAATAGATCAAAGGAACTCTCAACTATAGTTGTTGCTCAATTAGCTGTTTTAGTTACAACTATTGGAGAGGATAATTGGGATTTCACTGTTGCGCAAATCAGAGAAGTATGTCGAATGTCTCTCTTGGAAAAAAAAGAATTATTTTTTTGTATTTCACTGTTATTATTTTATTTTTTTATCATTATCATTTTTATTAACGTGGCTTTTCCAGCTCTGTGAACAAAACAGCACTGAAGTCTACATCAGATTTTTTAAACGACTCGTTTCTACCTGCTACAATCAAAAATTTCAGACTAATAAAAAGTCTGCAAATCATAACTTTGCCATCCGTCTTCTAATTGAGGAAACTTTTACACTCTCTACAAATCCAGCACTTTCTCATAGATTCGCTGAAGCAGTCACCTTTGATAACGAAGCACTTTGTGGATCTGATCTCGATTCTTATTTCACATTTTTTAATCTTGATTCAATCCAGAAAACGATTCTTTGCCTTCCTATCAAGAACCATTCCCTTGTTCCAAAATATAAATCTCAAGGTAAGTGTTTTTTTTAATGCCAGTTGACGCCGACTAATTTTTATATATTTAGCCTCTGACATTCTTCAATTCGAGTTTCAAAATTTTTTAACTTTAATTGCCGACAAATCAAAATATCCCCAAGAGCTTAATCCTACGAGTTTATCTCTTATATACCAACAATTTATCGCCGATTCATTTTTTTCTGAACAATCCGAACTTCTTACTGCTATTGTATCTCGCATCGGAACATCGAATCTCTCGCCTGAACTTCAAGTCGCTTACAACTTGTTTGACGCTGGTATCTCTCATACAATGAATCCACTTAACAATTTAATCAAATCACAATTTTCGAAGCCTGGTCCCAAAATCAAATCTACTGACCTTGCGTTCGCCATCTCTAAGCTTTCATCTGAACCATCAAATGCCGATTTAACTGAACTCATTATTCTGCTTTCTCATAATCCAAACTGGGACGGAGAAATAATTGGATCCGCTATCAAATCATCAAAAATTTCTCATCTTGATTGGAATGAAGTATTCCTCCGGATCGAACTTCCAACTCAATTTAATAATAACAATGTTGTCATCGCTTTGGGTGATGCAGGATCACTTCTCAACGTTCTCAAATTTTTAGCTGCTGCTGATGAAGGTCTAATCTACAAGTTTTTTTCAATTAAATGGACCAATCTTGACATTCAAATTAAACTTGTATCAGCCTGTGTCTATCTTACACCTGATTTTATTGACCTCAAATCATATGGTCTCGAACAAATTGTTAATCCTAAAGACTTTATTAATTCTTCCCCCCAAATTCAATCCATTGCAGCTGCTATCTCCAAACAACCTTTAAATTTCACGGCTTTAATCAAATACTCTCTTCAAGCATTATCCCCTGAAAACCCCCATCTCTCAGCTGCAACTACGTTTTTGGATAACAATGCAAAACTTTTCCCAGAACTATTTTTTCTGGGTGGTGTCGTTCTGCCTAAGCCTTGGTCTCAACTTATCGAACGTGTAATGCAAAATTTTTTTGAACTTTTTCTTATCGGTCACACATCTAGTCCGCTAATTTTTTACCGTTTGGCTCAAATCAACAAGGAATATTTTGTTGATTCTCTTCTTCAGTTTTTCCCCAGAGATCCTAATCTTATTCTCAATGTTGCCCAAGAGGCCAAGGTCTTAAACGACGCTCTTGCATCTAAACAGTATAATGTGGTTTTTGAACTGGCCGCACTAGCTGACAAGCACAATCTTTTGTCATTTGGCTCTTTTTTGAAGGAGAATGTTCGCTTTAAGGGCCCTGACTTCGTTAGAGCGCTTCTTGATTTTATTGAAGTTAAGGCTGCTTTGGAGTACAGTCAATCTCAGACTGGAAATGGTCCTCCTGGTCTCAATCTTCGTTCAGTTGCGGCTGCTCTCCAAGTTTTGAATGCAGTCGATATTCCTCATGAACGCACTGAACAATACAAAGCAATCCAAATCCAGTGTTTGCAATCATATCCACGACTTATTAACTACGGCCAGGGTTATGATGAAGCTATTCTTTCTCATGGTGACTCTAATTCATTTTCTCCTGATGTTGAAAGAAAAATGAAAATGCATTACCAAAAAATGTATGAGCAGCAAATTGAGATCCGTGACATCATCACCATGCTTCAACGCCTTAAACAGTCATCCAATCCTTATGACCAAGATGTTTTTGCTTGCATGGTTCATTCTCTTTTTGACGAGTACAGGTTTTTTCCAGAATACCCACTGAACGCACTTGCAACTACTGCTGTACTTTTTGGTTCTTTAGTTTACTTTCAGCTTATTGATGGTATGCCTCTCTCGATTGCTCTAAGAT